GGAGTTGTTATGGCATTTAATTAGCAGATATAAGGTTCATGCCAAGATTCCACCAGATCTAGGATAAAGGGTAAATCGAAAATACAGAATCAGAATCTGGTACATTGTATGATTATTGAAAATACATGTTAAAAATAGTTTGGGCCTTGTTTGTTTTTTTAGAATAGCTCAATGAAACATAAGGTTAAACAGTAAGAAGTTTGAAAAAAGAATGCAGGTTATCTTCAGGTACGACAGGTGTCAGTCAAGGAAGAATGTGGACATAAAATATAAATCAAATCAAGTATAGTCGCGGAAAGGTTAGTTAAGGCAAACGGGTTCCGCGTTCGTCCTTTTATGTCATTTGCCTTCCAAAAAAGTTACAAATTATAACATAATTAACTTAAACTATCCTACCTGATTAACATAATAACGACTTACCTTTATTCAAATAGCTAACAAAAATAAAGATTAAAAACCACTTCAAAGCCATGATGCCTTGATATAAATCTTAAATTCTACACTCAATCCGGCATTTTACGTTAAACAGAAGTATTCACCAAAAAGTCGAATGAATCTGCGAAGTTACTTGTTGCGCAGCGCGATAAAGTCCAAGTGAGAGTTTAATATGACTAGTAATAACCAAATGTAAATGTCATTTCTTTTGGAATTAGGCATTTCCTAGCTATTTGTTATTCATTAATATGAACTAAATGATCTTCCCATATTGAATAATCAAATATATGTAAATGAAAAAAATTGGGTGCGTTTCATAATGTCATATCTTGATGATATTTCAATTTCCTGTCTGCAACAAGGGATGCCACGTTTATGTGTTTAAATGAGTGCGGTCGTTTCTCACAATTTGCAATTCATTATTATCAAATAAATGTTATATATTGATGATATTTTATTTTCCAAGATATGCAGCTGAGTATCTATGAAACAATTTGGTAATGGTGGTGCAAAAATATAAACTAGATTAGTTAGAGTCATGAAAACACTATTCTTTCTGTGTTCCATTGCGTCGCCACATATAACAATAATAATCTCTCAAATATATAATTCCCTTTATAACATTCAATAAATGAGATCATTACTGACTGATTCTGTTTTTTTTCATTTTCACATAAATTTAGGTTGGTTTTTTTTCTTATCATTACTTGAGATAATAACCAGAGTGAATAACGTTTGATTCTCTGTGCGTGCGTGTGTGTGCGTGCGTGTGCTTGAGTATATTTCAACAAGCCTCCGGTTGCTCATATGGGCGAGTCCACCAGAAGAGTATTAGTCATTTTATAGTATAGTGTGAAGTATGCAGTAGTCAGAATACTTTTGAAGTGTAAGAGTAGTTCATGCCAACTGAAATATTGCTTAAACAATTTGTAAACATGTAATTATTCCGTTTAGTATTCAGTATAAGGTTGTACAAATGTGCTAAATATTACTTTTGGAAAAAAAAAAGAAAAAAAAGCAAAAACAAAAAAAAAAACGTCAAATGAGAAGTTAATAAAAAATAACACAACACTTAACACTTCTTTACGTCAAGTAAAATATAACATATTCGTATTCGATTGTATATAATTATACATAATTATATAGAAATTGTTTTTAGAAAAATCCGAAACAATCCGAACCAGTCTTGCATTGATATTTAACTACAATATTAATTGACAACGTTAGCTATTGCAATACACTGATTGTTGATTAATTTGTCGATATTTTAATTTATATCGGAAGCCTGCGTGTCTTAAGATAATCAATAATTATTATAATAACTGTTTTACTGTTTTACACCGTAATAGTGGACTTGTCCGCTGCGTCACTTAATAACTATCCGAAATGGACATTACTATATTTTATCACAAAACGACGGTCAAGGTCAGTATAAATAGTTCTGTAAACATTAAGTATGTACTTTATTAAGAATGCCCTGACATAAGATGCTGCACTATAAAGGAATCGCATCTTTTGGCCATTTACGTCATTAACGCCAAACATCGGAAACGATTTTTTTTTATAAATGACGAGATGTTCCGAATAATTCATGTATAATATAATCAAGCACGCCGGTCGACTTTCTGTATTCCAGCGAAATATTTCTTTCCATACTTCAAAGAATTCAATGTCAATGAAGGAAAACTCGTGTATTAACTTGCATATTTCATTACTACGATTTCCATACACAACGAAATGTTAGCAATACTAACATAACAATAACTTAATAATTTCTTGTAGCTATGTTAAAATAGAAATTAAATCATAAGCATATTGATATTTAGAGATTAAAACATGGCAGAATAATGAGTAATGGTCCCGAGGGCATTTTTCATTTCAGGGCCAATTATCACCTTCTGGTCCATCTATGACATGCATTAGTATCTTTAATACATTTGAAAGATCTAAAATACATGTATATGTAACACCTTTGAAATTTATCAGTATTAAAAGGGTGAATAAAAGTCAAGGACTTGGTAGGTTCTGAACTTTTTTATTTCTGTTGGCACAGCATGAGTCTTAGACAAGACTTGAAGTTCAATACAATCAATCATCTATTTCAGCACTAACTAAAAGCAGATAACCTATTAACCAGTAACCAGTAACCACACTCTGAAAATACAAATTAGAACATTCTTAGTGAATATTACATTTAACAATCGTGAATTGCATATATCAATCAATCACAATCATCCCAGTGGCTTTATATTAACATCAAACATTTTACAATACAATATCATAAAACATTTATACTTTTGCAACAATATATCACACTTACCAGTTTATGGAACTAAGTGTTTATATCAACACAACAAATTACAATGCACTCTTCACTGTCTCCAGTGTACTTTTATTATCCTGCAAATTATAGTGAATAATGTGCATATAGTTTGAATAGAATGTGAGATTATTTATTTAATAATTAGTTGAGAAAAGAAAGATATGATACTGCAATATTAAACCAATCCTTAGAGTCCAAAATAAGACACAGACACCATTTACATTACTTATTACATTTACTATCATTATTCAATTGAAAACAACATTAAGATAAGCAATACTTAATACTCTGGAAATCATCAAAAAAAATTAAACTTTACATAACTTATTAATAATAATTATAGTCCATAAATCACAAAAAACAGAAAAAAACTTGAGGACATTGTACATGTGTCTTTGCTCAACTGAACACAATAGTCACATGATCAAAACTGGCGGGAAATCATAATCACTTACACATAGCAAAACACTGGTCCAACGGAAACAACTCTCTAAATGACAAATAATAAAGAATGACAGATTTTGTCCCTGTTACACACTTCTTTGCTATGGAAAATGACGTCCCGTCATCAAATCATACCAATAAATAATCAGGATAACAAACTACCTAGAACAAAACTGCACCAATAGAATACTTCATCAGCCATTTCGAAACCATTAAACAAACAAACTCATCACTTCATTAAGAGTCAATACATGTCATTTCATTGTTTTCTCTTACTACGTTGACATAGCCTATAAATATGTAATCCAGCATTGACAATTATCTTTATTATTATCAACATTGAATAACTCATGTTATATTGTAAAATATTTGCTTTTGTACTCCGCCTTTTTAATTGCGACCTCGCAATCCAATAACTGCGCAAAAAAGATTAACATTTAAAATATCACGCACTTTCAATATAAATCAACATATATTTTATTGCAACATTTTAAATGTAAATTTATTATCAAAGCACATTATAAGCACATAAGAATTACATTCAATATAATAAAACATATTGCATAAAAAAAACATTAAAATACATGTATATGACTTCTTCCCTGTGAAGGTATCCAACATTTGGTGAGCTACTTGTATGTCAGTTCTGATTAGTACTCCAGAGTTTATCAAGACATCTAATGCTTGTAATTTGGAGTCATTTGGTATTGAAACCATCTGATACATGATAAACTCTTTTTGCCATTTCGGTTTCCTCTTTTCTCTTCTTGGTGTTCTTGAGGATGGAGTTGGACTTCTTGCGATACTATGACGAGGACTTGGCCGAGGTCTTACACTTTCTGTGGTTGCTTCTTCTACGTTATATGTTTTTTTTTTCTGCAATTACATCATGTTGATCTGTATTATCTTGTATATCCTCTGTATTTGCTACTTTTTTGTCAGGATCATCAGATGTTGTAGATAAATTTTCTTCTTTTGGAAGTTCACCCTCTACAACTCCTACTTCATTTTCTTCGTCTATATATGTAGATATGTCCTCAGACTCTTTTATGTCCTCTGATCTTTCTTCTGCATCATCTAATGTTTCTTCTGACTGTTTGTTCTCTTTCTCAAAACTATTTTTGTACTTTAACTGATTTTTTGTGCATTTAAATCTGAGACCATAAAAAGCACACATTCAACGTGTCTTAATATTATTTGTTCACTGTTATTTTAGCTCTGGTACTCTAATGCAGGTGGTGTGGCCGTTTTAATTAAAGAAATATTAGATACGTTTTCATCTCGTATCTCTTCCTCAACTTCCTCATCTTATCTTAAGTGACGTCACATTCTATCTCTACTTTATTTTCTTGATCCTTTGATGCATCTTCTTTTGTATTCTCATCTATATGTTTCTCAGTTTCTGTTCTTTCTCTTCATTCTTGTCCTTGGACTAGGAACATGTGATTTTTGTGTAATATTTTAATCATTCCGGACTGTTCTGCTTTAATTCAAAATACAAGAATATCTTCTCTTGGTTGTTCTATCACGTCATAAAGTTCTTCTTCACTTTTGTCTGAATATTTTCCATCAAACGTCAGGATTTTTTCTAGTACTTTATCTCCAACTTTATCGAAGTTGGTCTTTTGTTTAAGTCTGGCTTTGTTGCTATGCTCTTGTACAATTTCTCTAGTCTTTTCCATTCTGTCTTTAAGTTCTTAAATGTTATCAGAATATTGTTAATCAGTTGTTGTTATTTCAACTTCTTGTCAATGACTGATCTTCTCCATCTTTCTGTTATCATGTCTTTGACTTCTCCTTATTTCCGCATCTTTATCTGTGCCATAGGTGTTCCAAAGTCTTCTGTTACTTCAAGTATGTTGATATAAGCTGTTGGTAGTGTCTCTATATATGGAATGAAGTTCATATTGTTGCATATAGTCTTCACAATGTTGTTTCGATCTTTATCATATCTGTTTCGTCTTGTACAATGTTATGTTTAGGATATCTTGATATTTCATCTGTGTCTGCATTTTTTACTCCGGCTATGTATTGTTTGTCAAAATCATATGCTCCTAGAGCTGCGGCCCATCCTTGTCCGGTTGCGTTGAGTTTGACGGATGTCAAAACACGGGTAAGAGTATTATAATCTGTCAGTACTGTGAAATGCTTCAGTGCTAGGTACTTTCAAAATTTATCTGTCACTGCCCATTTTTAAGCTAATAACTCCAGTTTAAATGCTGAGTAGTTTCTTTCCGCTTTGGTTCAAGATCGACTTGCATATGCTATGACCCTCTATTTGGTATAAAATTGCTTCTAATACCTTTGTCGACGCGTCTGTATGAAGCTCAAATGGAAGGCTGAAATCTGGGAATGCTTGTATTGGTGGAGCTACAAGAGTTTCCTTAAGTTGGTTGAATATGTGTTCTTCTTTCTCTGTCCTTTGCCAATCTTTGAATACTTTCTTGGAAGTCTTTGAAGATGTTGAAGGTAATATTTCTGTAAGAGGTCTAATAAGTTTTGAAAAATATCTAATAAATCTTCTAGAGTACCCACAAAAAGCTAAAAAGGAACGGAGTTCATCTGCTTTCTTTGGTGTTGGCCAATTCTTCACTTTGTCTATCTTTTCTGGGTCAGTCTGTATCCCTTGTTCACTAACTACATGTCCAAGAAATTTGACCTTTTCCTGTATAAAGAAACATTTCTCTGGAGACAATTTCAAGTTGTTTTCTTTGAATCGAGTAAGTACTTTGTTTAAGATTTCCAAATGGTCTTTAAATGTTCTGCTGAACATAATTAAGTCAACTAAGTATATCACACAAATTTTCATGTAAAAATCATATAAACATTCTTCCATCAGTCTTTGGTAGAGTTAGATAATCAAAAGGGCATTTTATTATATTCCCAAAATCCTAAAGGTCCTAAGGTAAAAGTTGTTCTCTCTTTATGTTTCTCTTCTATCTCCTCTTGATGGTAACCTGCTTTCTGAACAATTGTTGAAATATATTTACCGCCTTTCAGAATATCAAACACTTCCTATATTCTTGGAAAGGCATAAGAATCCTTCAGACTTTTATTATTTAGCATTCGATAGTCCTAGAACATTCTCAATTTACCATTCTTTTTCCTAACCAGAACTACATTTGATGGCCAAAGTGACTTTGATTTCCTTATTATCCCTGCTGCTGGTAGTTTTCAATGTGACTTCTCATTTCTTCTATCATCATAGATGGGATTCATTTATGACGCTGCTTAAATGGTATATCATCTATACGATCAATCCGGTGTTTTATCTTCTCGAAATTTCTAATATATACATGTAGAGAAGATGTCCTTATTTTGATGGAGTAGAGCTTTAACTTTGCACATTGATTGTCAGTAAGTGGTCTATTGGTATCTATCTAAATGGTTTGTAATAAATCATCATGTTTGTCTTTGTGTTGAATGTTGTTGAAAACGTCCTCGTCAATAGTCACTGGTTGCAATTCACACAAAATACTTTTACACTAGATGGAAACTGAATTGGAACGAAACTAGTTTCAAAATGCTTGGTTTAACATAACATTCCATGTGGATCTTGAAAAGAAGATAGATCTTAACTTCAAAGAAAAATATCCAATATAGAGAAACTGATTAAACAATGGAATAGAAAAGCTTTGACTCCAATCGGTAAAATAACAGTAATAAAAACAAAACGTATCTCACAACTAAACCATCTTTTTAAAATGTTGCTGAATCCTTCGGATAAATATATAAAACAAATTAATGATACATTATATGCTAAGAATGGTAAATATAAATGCTTTTATGAATGCGTTAAAACTTATATGGGTAAGAAGAATTATTTTAAGTGATGGTTGTTGGATAAGTATTTAAACACAGGGTATTGATGTTCATAAATTAGTCACGTGTGGAAAGCATTATGTCGAGAAAATGTCAAAATCTATTAAAATGAAACACACTTTAAATGCATTTTTATTGTTTATTGAGCATCAGAAATTTGATCAAGTACTAATCTGCTTCTTTATCTGTTTATAGAAATATAGGTCAATATGTAACCTTTACTTCAATACACAATAATACCAAATATAATTTAATTTCTAGATAAAGTATTAACTTTACCTTGAATGAATTTCTATTTTTAAAATACACTCAATCAAACTATTTATCCTAAATAAAACCTTTTTATTTTGGATAAACTATACACTGAATACACAAAATAATGTCAACAAACCTTCTAATACATGTCTTGTAATGTTTATAAACACACAAGTGACCTGGGATTCAATAGACTACACACTAGGTAATGTATAATTCCTGTCCAATCAAAACACAGCCATGTACAATATACCTCTGTCACATGGTATGACGCATCACAAATGCAAAGCAGTGAACCAATGAAATGAGAGAATCCTTGGAAAATACCAACAGGTCATTTGCATATGACCTCAATGTATCAATACACCAAGAAAATAGTCCCAAGCTAAATAGGTCAACACACAGGATCAGCTGATTTCACACAAATGTAAACAATGGGCCAGAATGAGACATGTACACTTACAAATCTTAAAATTTCAAAATAATTCCTTGAATTAAGATTTAGTACTTGTAAAAAATTGAATATACTTGAAAAATAAATTTATCAATGGTTAATCTTAACTCAGAATTTTGTTCAAGTAGTTAATAAACAATTACACAGATCAAATAGTATGAAACCTGAATAAAAATATTTTGATGATTATGATCAAATTTAGAAGTAGAACCGATTCATATCAATTAGACTGATCGAAGAAGGATATTGTTAAAGATGCAGATGTGTTAGTGATAAGTTATATTATCATGAAAAGGTGGAATTATCTCTGACTTACAATAGTCACTCTTGATTCACAGTAATTTACTTCTAAATAATAGAATTGTACATGTATAGGATTCAAAAATTGAAGTTATCAGATTTTAGCTATGCTACAATTTAGAAATTCAACAAATTACCAAGTTTAAGCAAAATTTACTAAAATATCTATGACTATTAAATTAAATTACAGATCTATGATTAATTAATAACTACAATTAATGAAACATTTTTTTTTACTTACAACCAGTTGAATTACTGTCAAGCCACTAGAATACTTGGATATCTTCACATATGAAAATGTAAATGTCAATGTCACTTATTTTAAATTATTAAAATATAATTAAACTGTCCTAAATTGTTTCCTCTGTAAGAACCGTCGTCTGGTCTCAAACTGAAAGGTTAAAGTAGAATTTATCATATGTTTCTCTCCAATGGAGGAAGGTAGAAATAATCGACTTGTCCCCAAACGAAAAAGGTATGCTCTCCTAAGGTAAAAGACGAAATACGTAATGATAAATTGTCTACTTTAATCATTTAAAATAGTGTCCGACATCTGCTTCTATTTATAAATTTGGCAATAAACTGTGTTTCTATGTCAAATGCAGGTTGTTGTTTAAATAAGTGAAAATTTATGCTTGTATGTTCAGATATTGAACGTTTATATATAAACATATACAAAAATAAATTCAGTATTATCTTGATTAAAGGATCAGTTGAACAAAGATCAATATTAATGTCTTAAGATGTGTCAATCACTATGTAACACAGTAACAGTTCTGGTAGTTGAGTGAAATTCAAATACTGTTGACAACACTTCAATACATGTAAAGATAAAAATGTCACAAGTTATCTGCACTTAATACAATCCAATTCACTAATTTACTGAGAATCCTTCATTCACCAAGCTGGTAAAATCCAATTCTCCTGTCAGCACTTCATCTAAACACACTGCGCCTCGAGTCCCCCGTTGGTGCCATTGTAACTCCTTTGAAATTTATCAGTATTAAAAGGGTGACTTCTACAGTCAATGATTTGGTAGGTACTGAATCTTTTATTTTTGTTTGCAAAGCAGGTTTCTTAGACAAGACTTGAAGTTCAATACAATCACTCATCTATTTCAGCACTAACTACAACCAGTTAACCTGTTAACCAGTAACCACACTCCAAAAATATACATAATTAACACATTCTTAGTAAATATTACATTTAACATTCGTAACTTGCATCAATCAATAAATCATAATCATTACAGTGGCTTTTAATTAACATTAAGCATTTCATCATACAATATCATAAACACTTATACATTTGCAACAATATATCACACTTGCCAATTTATGGAACTAAGTGTTTACATCAACACAACTAATAACAATGCACTCTTCTCTCACTCCAGTGTGCCCTCATTATCCTGCAAATTATAGTGAATAAAGTGCATAAAGTTTAAATATAATGTGAGATAATTTATTTAATAATTAGTTGAGAAAAGAAAGATATGATACTGCAATATTAAACCAATCATTCGAGTCCAAAATAAGACACAGAAACCATTTATTAAATTCACTATCATAATTCAATTAAAAACAATATTAAGATAAACAATACATAATGCTTTTGAAATCAAAAGCAATTAAAAGTTTACATACCTTATTAATAATAATTATATTCCATAAATCACAAAAACAAAACCAAAAAAAATCCCCAAAACATGAGGAAATTGTCTCTTCATGAAAAACGTAAGCTCAACTGAACACAATAGTCACATGATCAAAACTTGCGGGAACTCATATCCAAAACACTGGTCTCAGGGAAACAACTCTCTAAATGACAAATAATAAAGAATAACAGATCATTTCCCTGTTACATAAACTTTGATATTTATTTCGTTAAATCCCTTCTCTGGACACTTTTCCAGTACTGAAAGTTCTACAGAGTTGCTTACATTATGTGTATGCTACAGAATCTAGAAGCACTATTTATTTTCGCGGAATGAAATTGTAGCTATGTTTTTTTTCTTTAAAATTCAGCAAAGCTGTGTTGCACAAATTGCGCCCATGTTCTAGTGATATAATCTAGCTATTCGTGCTTTAATTTTACTTTCACTCGCCGTTGTTTAAACGACGTTAATGTGACATGACACTCATAATCAGTTGAAATTATAGGCAATTTTGTTACAATATATAGTAGCAAGTGTATTAAAAATACATCTTCTATTCTACAGTATTTTTTCGGGGGGGGGGGGGTAGGCTATAACATGTACTTGTTTTAAGTTTGACATAAAAATTGTGTTATCATATGCATTTTTGTCAGTATTATTAAGCGAATCAGATATGAAATATTACAAATAGGAATAAAAGGATAATTGACAATATTAAATCAGCAAACTACTTATAAAATATTTAGCATTACATACAAATGTAATGAAATCTACACGCAGTGTTAAATGTTTTGTGGGAGGAAGTATTGTTAACAAAACTTAAATATCTTAGCAATATAAAGGTAAAGTTAAAGAACCATCCTGTTTAATTTATTTTAGAACTTTCCTTTACACTTTATTGTAGTACTATCCTTAATCTTTTAATTTGAGAATAATAAGAACTATTCTTTTCATTTTACTTTACAATAACCAACTATAATCACAGCTTTCAGTTGGTAATTCTAAAATGATCAATTAAAGTTCTTCTCATATTCAGTTATTCTCTGTAAACTTAACAGGAAGTCAAACTGATTTAAGACGGTCTATTTCTTTACATCTTTAAAACACTTTATACATTTCTTGTATTATACTGTATAAGCTGCGTTATTGTATTCGTCATGGGTACATCATTTCTTGCATTATACTACGTAATCGGCTTCATTGGAATTATCATTTGTACATCATTTCCTGTATTATACTACGTAATCGGCTTCATTGGATTGATCATTTGTACA